TAATAAATTACCAATTCAAATTGGAGAGTAGTTTTAAGTTGGAGTTTTAAAATTATTTAAAAACAAAAAAACAAAAATAAAGTAATAAAAAAAAACTTCAGANATTCACTGACTATATAAGTACGTTTGATTTAATAGAGATTTCATTATTGGGTATATCGTATTGATAAACAAGATGACAGTTTAATTTTATTAAAGCAATACAATCTAATAGGATCAAACAAGCCTGATCATAATTTAATTTAATTAATATTTTTTTAATATTGACCGCGCATCGCGCGGGTACGACTAGCAGTATAAGTATCAATTCTAAAGAAGGGGAAAAGACAAAAAGCTGGTGAATGAGTAGTTTATTTAACTAAAGAATCAAAACTAGAAACTGAAATCTACCACTAAGGACGTGGAAGCAGCAGAAGGAAGTGGTGATGAAAGTGGCAAAGTACAGAAGCCACGACGCATGCCACGTTCTCTTCATGCAGCAACGTTTCAACACCCTTTAAATCAACTCCCCTAAAAAATATGTAGTAGTACAGAAAATATAGCTACTGTGTTAAATCTGTGAAGAGAAAAATGCCAGGACTCACCATTGGAGATGACCTTCCTAATCTGGAAGTAGAAACCACTCATGGAAAGATGAAACTCCATGACTATGTTGGTCACAGCTATACCATTCTCTTTTCTCACCCAGGTCTAATTCACACTCCCATCAATATATTTATGTCTCGATCGGTCCCTTTTTGACGTTGTTAATTGTTTGCTGTATATATGGATGTAGGTGATTTTACGCCAGTTTGTACAACGGAGCTTGGTATGATGGCTGCTTACGCTAGCAAGTTTGCTGAACGAGGAGTGAAGCTTCTTGGATTTTCTTGTGACGATGTTCATTCTCACAAGGAGTGGATCAAGGACATCGAAGCTTACAACGTAAACAAACCGCACTCAAATTTCTGCATTTTCATTTTAGTTCTAGTAGCAGTATATTTGTTTTTCGTCATTAATTGATGCTAATATTGTTTTCTACTTGGCAGAATGGACATAAGGTGACATACCCAATAATTGCTGATCCGAAGAGAGAATTGATTAAGGAACTGAACATGGTGGATCCAGATTCCTCTGGCCAAAAAGTCCCTTCTCGTGCTCTTCATGTTGTTGGCCCTGACAAGAAGGTTTACTACAACATAGATCTCAACCTTAATTTGCTTCATCTCTACTCGAATTAAGCTTCACTCCGTGTGAGTGTGTGTGTCGAATTGAAATTAAATGAGTAATGGTTGAACGCACAAATTAAAACCGTGAGCGTCTTAACAAAGAAAGGTCTGATCTTTTCTAACTTGGGCTTAACTTTTGTTCATGTTTGCAGATAAAGCTGAGCTTTCTGTACCCAGCAAGCACAGGAAGAAACATGGACGAAGTGGTGAGGGTTATTGATTCCCTACAGAAAGCTTCAAAGCACAAAATTGCAACCCCAGCAAACTGGAAACCGGGAGAACCGGTAGTCATATCACCCAGTGTCTCCAATGAACAAGCCAAGGAAATGTTTCCACAGGGATATGATACTGCCAATCTTCCTTCTGGCAAAGATTACTTGCGTTTCACAAATGTTTGAGAACTATATAAAGTGCGTATATAATATTTAGATCCTGCACTTCTCTTTTGGAAACTGGATGAAAAGTTTCTTTAGGAGATTGTTGTTAAGGTAATTTGGTGCTGGATTGTTTTAAGTCTTTAGTATGGAGCTTGTTCCTTCTTTTTCTTGTGTTTTACGTATGTCTGAGAGTAGTTGCTTTGAAGTATATTTTCAAACAGTTTTAAGTTTCATGTTATATAGAATACTATATGTGTGGTTAGTATTAATTTTTAATTTGATAAATATGTTGTATCATGTTGTAATTTGATAGTTACGAGTGCCTAAGTATATATTAGGATGTGCATCTGGTCGATTTGTGATTCGATTCATTTTGTTCTATTCGGTTTGCTTTACAAGGTTTTTTGTACATAAATAAACTCATGAATATTTGATTTTTTATTTGAAATAAGAAAAAATAACATTATCTAAATAAAAACGAAAAAATAATATCAAAAGCATATTCAAATAAATATTTGAGATCTAGAAAAAGAAACGGAAGCAAATATACTTTTACAATTTAAATAGATAATTGAACATAGAGTGAAAATACAATAATGAAAATAAAAGAAATTAAGAAGAAAGAAAAGAAAATGGAAAGAGGGAAGAGGGAACAAGTCGGTCAAAAAGGAGGAGCAAATTTAGCTTTTGTTAATATGAGAGAACCGATATGGAACTTTGGCCTCAAGCCTAGCGAGGGCGCTTCAACCATGGCACCTACAATCACTTGGTGACTTGGGGTGCCATTATTTTTGTTTTTTGTCATTTTTAAGGTTTTTTACATGAAAACTAGTACCTACATGAATTTCTACCCCAGCGACTTTGATCTTAATATAGATCCGCCTGATTATAATCGCTGATTTTTTTAACGATAGATATTGATTCATAATATGTTTGAATTGATATTGACATAATAATCTAGATTGTACTGATTTTTTTTATAATAAATAATAATTGATTTTAAAAAAATAATATTGTTGCAACAGGTTAAAATATTTAGGGAAAAAAACAGTTGTGCAATATTTAAGAAGTATTTATAGAATCCCAGCAACACTAATCAATTAACGAACATCCCAACAAATTATACATAATTATCAATTGTATGCAAAGTAATATATTATGCTCCAATCTTTCTCAATTTCTCTTCCTCTTCTTCCTCCTTCAAATTCAAACCCCTTCACTCAAAACTGAATAGACCAATTGCACCATTATAATTGAATACACTATTAGAGCCGGAGATTATTGTGAGCACCTAATTTTTGACCATTCTTAAATTTTTTTAATCTCCCTCACGTCATTTAGCACATACCTTACCACCAACACAATTATTCCCTCACATACTTTACACTAATCATACACTCATTTTCCACCTACAAAATTATTCCCTACCCCATTCTCCTTTATTCCTCACCCCACTTTCCCTTGTCCCCCTCACATGTTCCCCACTCCCCCTTCCCTCATTCTCTCTGCTTAAAACACACACACAGACGGAAAAGAAAAAAAGGAAGGAGGGCACAAAAAAAAACGGAACTCACTCCCTTTTTCCTCTAGGAGCAAGCCTTAAAAACTAACAATCAAATTTCACCGAAAAATCAGCAAAAATCAGCCTCAAAACAGTGCAAATCCTAGCCAAAAAATCAGTTCAAAAGCCGCCATAAATNTCCTAGCCAAAAAAATCAGTTCAAAAGCCGCCATAAATCACCATAAATCATCCTCAAAAGCTTCAGCAAAATAGTCTCCAATCAACATCACAAATCACTCAATTTTTTGGTTTCTTTATTGCGGAGTTTCAAGGTTCCGGCTACAGTCCGAATTTTATTTTTGTTGTATAATCATGCATCAATAGCAGTGCCATTACTTGAAGAACCCTTTCATCTATAAAAGGTCCAATCTTTTTATCTTGTTTGCTTTGTCTATTTATTGTTCCATTTAGATGATATGTGCTAATATGCCTATTTGCTTGGATCTGTTATTCTTTTTTTTTGAGCACATGATTTTTCTTAGTTGTTAGTTCTTGTCGTTAAGTTTATTAGCGTGTGATGTTGAGTTAGAATCTAAAAGGAAAATTTCAAAAAAAAAAAAAAAAAAAAAAAAAAAAATAGAACTTAAAAATAATGAGGGAAACGTAATGGTAACAATAATGTATTTGGATCCTAAGGTTTGGTTTTTGTAAAAGTTATTTTCTTTATCAAAATAAACTAATCAATTTTAGTAATTTCCTAGCGTTAGTTTTATCATTTGGTCGAATTAGTTTCTAATATTGTTTTAACTGACTTATGATAATTTTATTAATCCTTCANCCTTTAATAATCCTCTCTTGACTTGTGGTAAATACTAAATAAAATACTTTCATAACTCTTGAGCATCACAATAATCCTAACTTAGGAAATAGTAATTTAAAATGCTTAGGCAATTTTAGGCGCGTCTTCAAAAGTTGACCATGAGCTCTTACGATCCTTGGTTAATATCAATTAATAAAAATGGTCATGTGTGCATTCCCGCTCCTTGACTCTCT